TAGCCGCCGTTTTGTCGATCGCCATCCTCGTGTCAGGTAAGTTACTCCCATTCTGTGGTCTGGTGGTAGTTCGCGGCGCTCTGTGATTGTTGATTTGTGAAATTTGTACTTACCGTACTGGTGACGATAACGTCTGCGGCGGCGGACGCCAGGTACAGGGGCGGGACAGGGCCCCATGACGCACCGCGCACCAAACTTAACACGGAAGGCAAGGGGAAGAACCTGTTCGTACGTGCGCGGGTTGTGAACTCTGGCAGCCCCCCGTCGCGCGGAAAGGAGATCTGCTCGGGGCAAGAGATTCTTTTTATATGGCCTTAAAAGTTACATGACCGGACATTGCGCCCCGATTTCACGGGGTACATTTTGCCGCGCGCGCTCGGGCGCTAGCCTCGGGAGTCGAGCGGGGGGTATAACCAAGAACCAGTGGGGCAAACGTCCAGCCGCTATCCCGAATAAAGTGCCACCATTAAATCAAGGAGGTTTCATCGTTGAATAAAGTGACACTGGGTTGAATTCTTCGCAATGTTGTGCTTTCTTTTTGAATTCGTAGATTTCTCTGATTGTCCCACGGGGGCTTACACGAAAGATCGGGACCTGGGTGTAGAGTTGCCGGCGGTGTCGGTCTAGTTGCATTTTCTCTTGATATAATCATTCACCTGCAAGTTCCCACAATCATTGACACGGACGAACCAACATGAAAACGATCCTGTAAAAAACAGTAGAATTTTTGGATTTTTTTGTTCGTTGTTTCGGCCTTATTGGTCCGACGGGGCCTGGGCGTACAGTTGTCGGCGGGTGGCGGTCTGCATTTTTCCGCAGATAAATCTCGTTTGCAATGACATGGGACTTACCAGCCACTAACATTACACGTCTGAACTCGCCATGTTAGCAGTTCTCTTGCCATTTGGCATGTGCGTCCCGCCTCAGCGGTGGGATTGTGAAACACTAACATGTTTTGTGGGTGTAACCTATGCCCGAACACGTTATCTCACTGTCGTGATCTGTAAAAGCTCCATAACATTTTGCCCCCCTTGATCCAATCTGGTAGCCTCCGGATCCTCCGCAAACTTTGACGCAGAGAGAGTTTTGCCAGGGAGGGTCATTATCGTTAGCCTCCCTCGCAGACTTGTAGGGGTGGAGTTATTTTTTTTTTCGGTGAGCGGCGCGAGTTACTCGTATGCCGCGGAAGGACGAGAGAGGGAGTTTTGCCGGGGAGAGACGATTTCGCTCCCTCGGAAAAACTCTAGTCTCCACCAGACTTCTTTTGCGGGGTGAATAAATCGTAGAAATCGGCCTAAAGAGGGTATTAATTGGCCAGAGAGGTGGCCAATTAATACCCTTTTTAGGCCGATTTCTACGATTTATTCACCCCGCAAAAGAAGTCTGGTGGAGACTAGAAAAACTCCCTCGGCAGCAAAATCGTCCCTCCGCGGCATAACTTGCGCCGCTCACCGAAAAAAATTAAGCCGCCCCCTACAAGTCTGCGAAGGGGGCTACATTATCGCAACTTCGGCGGCAAAACTCGCGTCGCTCCCCCCAAAAATTAACGCTGCCGCCGCACAAGTCTACGAAGGAGGCTTGTATCTAGTAGTTATTCTATGAATCAATTCAAGGTCTTCAGATACACTTGGGCACTCGATTGCTCAACGCAAGCAGGTGGGCTAATAGAATTAAATTCTTCGCCGTATAATTAAGGTGTGGAACATTTTTTCGCGGTAAAAGCGAAAGGAGGACGTGCAGTGCATTGGGACTCCTTGTGTGTGCTACAAGTCTGGTTACCACTCTCACAAACCGGCTTATGCTGAGGTCACAATTCCCACACGGGGCCCGGCCGGGTAGCTTTGGGGAACGAATTATATGATATAAAAGACAACAAAACACAGAAAAGTTCTTAATAACAGTCATGGGCACTATTTCTTTATATTCTTGATATGAATTGTTAATTTTTCGTTTACAAGAAAAGCCCGGCCGGGCCCCGGTTTGGAAATGTGACCTAAGCATTAGCTGGGTTTTACCGACCCCAGTCCTACATAGCATATATAGGCCTCTTCTTTCCGGCGGGCCTTTCTAATCATTGGCATATCCTATAGACGAACTAAATGAAACCGGCCCCGTAAAAAAATGCGTGCGCTGATGGACCTGGGCGGGCGGGTAGTACTCCCAACACCGTTGAGATACCGGGGAGCCTATTTGCAGAGTTCAGCGGGCCCACACACCGGTTTGCTCGCGCCCGATCGGCTGCCACCACCCCTAGAACAGTGCCTTTAATGAAGACCTTTATTGCACATTTCTGCCACACTTGGCTAAGTACAGGTCACAACAAAACAAGATGAATTATGGACACGGTAATATCCTCCAAGCGGACTCTATGTATGTTACGCCCCGTAACTACAAACTTCGCGACCCCACTTCTCTGTTTAGACAGAGCGGACTCGGACAAGTTGTATCGTGCGGCAGCCTTCTTTAAGTTGTCTTGTCGTTTTAGGAGCATGTTCCTCTGGCACAATCGGTAACCAACCCTGCGCGAGTTCGATGCTAGAGTCGGCTCAATTCAGACATTTTGTGACAGATAATTGTTGTCATTTCGGACAGTGACTGTCCGGTGTGTGAGGGTCAGCTTCCCACACCTGTACCACACCTGTGTCACACCTGTGCCACACCAGGCGTTCGCCTCCGCACGTAAAAGAAACCAAACCGCTCATATCGAGAAGATACTATTCTAATGACAACGATAACGATGAGAATGGAATTCGACCACTTTCGACTTTATTCGAGTAGAACTTGAAGTGACGCGGTGTGCTTTACCAGAATGCCACATTTCCAAGAGTCCCATTTCTAAGCCGGGCCCGAACGAATGATATATATGATGCACAAAACACACAAACCGTTTGTAAGACAATCATTAGCATGATTTGTGAATATTCTTGATATGTATTTTTTTAAATCTTTCGCTCATTCAAACAGCCCGGCCGGGCCCCGGCTTTAGAATTGGTACTCCAGCATGTAGCGAGCTGTAGCGAAGACCCAGATGCGGCACTAGAAGGCGATGCTGCTTGAAAAACCATCATGCTTCACCTCAGTTAAGGATAACTGCTTTACCTTTGCTTTTAGGCACTCCCAACAAACCGGAGAGTGAGGGAGACGCCGGCGGCATTGCGAAGAGGGCGGTGAGTTCACGTTTTTTTTTTAAATTTACCTGAAGAATTTACCTGGAAAATAAATAAAGATGTTTACGTTATCAATATGTTGTACAATAAGATCAATATGTGGTAGAACTGTTTTGTCAGCAGTGCATTGCTGGAGTCAGATAATGACACTTTCTGTTACTTTTTCATTCACCAACTTACACAGTTCAGCCGTTCAGCGTTAGCGTGCTTCCGTTATACAAGGGTCACATTTCTAATTTGCAAGCCGGGGCCCGGTCGGGCAGTCAGTGGCGGGAACGAAGAGTATGATACGAGTATAATGCTGAGGTTACATGTCCAACTATCGAAGACAACAAAACACACAAAAAATTGAAAGATTATAATGAGTACTATTTGTGTATATTCCTGACATGAATTATTGACTTTTCGTCCATGCAAACAGGCCGGAGGCAGTTGTCAGGACAGACAACACCGATGCACATGCAACTACTACAAGTACCAAGGCTTCTGCGACACTGCATCTGCCTTTATGCAGGACCAATGCGCAGCCACTTGTGGTTTTTGTACCGGTAGGTGGCGTCTGTATAAAGTATAGTTCTGGGGTTACATGTATATGAATTTGTTTTTTATTTACTACATGTTCACCATAAAACAAGGCTCATGGGATCCGGGAGCCACTCAAATGTTTTGGGTTTCTATGTCAGAGTATTCTTTGAAACATTAAATTGGGATTCTTTATTGGGCCCCACAAGTTTACCCTGGGAGCCAGACGCGTAAGGGGACGGCGGGCGGGGAGATTACGCGCACCCAGGCGAGTGATAGCCCGTCCCCGATTCACGCCCTCGCCACTATTCGTTGTGCTACTATAGCCTCCTGTGCAGGCCTAGGGGCGGGTAGGAGTTACGGTACTGCGTTTTGTAGATTTATTTTACGTGACGGGTATACTCTGGTTGTAGGATGGCAGGCAAAAGAACGCGTTAAAAATTCTTTACAAATGCAGTATCATAACTCCCACCTGCCCAGAGGCCTGCACAGGAGGCTAATCTGGCTGGGGCACAGCGGGTAGTGGGGAGGGCGTGAGTCAGGGACAGATCTATCACTCGCCCGAGCGCGCGTAAACTCTCGAAATGTTACCGTTTCTATAGGCCACGGCCGCGCGGCGAGCTTTGGGGTTAAACGGAAAATGTGAAAACAACGACAGTCCGGGGCGGGCCCAGGTTCTGAACGAATTCGTCTGAGAGTTTCCTAACTATGAATGACACTTGAATTCTAAACATATTTTCTCATGGTTGACAGCAGAGCATGAAGCTTCATTAAAGGGTGTGTCCTAAACGGTGCTTGGACGATGTCCAAGGGAACAGATTGGGATTGCATGCCAGGCCCGCAGGCAAGTCGGCAGAACGAACAATGCCTGCGCGATACCCGAATTTTTCACGGTTTTTGTTGGATGTTTGGTCAACGTTGTATCATAGTTTGCCCATTGCAGGCGAAATCCTTTCCGACACAACATTTGAAAAAGAAAAAACTGCCGACGTGCTGAGGCATATGCACCAAGTCCTCACAACAATAGTGGTAGTATCATACTTGCGGCATTTGGAAGTTGGAAGGTGAACATGGTTCGACATAGATTGTGCAAAACGGGATGTCATTTGCATATTCTAAAGCGGAAATGCTATGCCAGGATAGGACTGACACATCTACGAGATAAGTAATGGCATGGGATTTCGTGACATTTGTGAAAGTTCTCATCTCATCATACATACATTAACACTTTCCTTGTTACTTTTGTTGTCACTGTCCCCCACTGTCAGTGCGATGCTTGAGTGTCAACGTCGATGAAAATAAACCGACTTCCTTTGCACTCAACAGGTTCCGGTAACCGGTGTGAGGACATAGATGCAACTCTCTGTCAGACTTACATGTCACGCGGCTACCTGACCAACCCAAACTTTCAGTACACCGTGACCTGTCAATGCCCCAAGTCAGCCGGAGTCTGTGTCGGTGGTGACGGTGGGTACCCGATGCTCGGATTGACTTTCGTTTCTGTTTTTGGTTATTTTGACTTGGTTATTTTGACTGCAACTAGTTTTGCCATGTTATATGTTGCCTTCCATAGCCCGTCTTTCTTCTCCATCCTTATTATCGTTGTGAATCAGTCGCGCAGTAAGGAACCAGTATGGCATGCATTGTTTGTTTTTTGCATACCCGATCATCTCTCCACTTTAACGCACACTCACAGACCATATACCGGCTATACCGATACAGATGGAGATACTGGGCAATCGGAGGAGGCGAGTGAGGAAGAAGTGGATGCTGGCGACTTTAAGGACGGGTGTCTGGGGGCCCACAACACCCACCGCGCCGATCACTCGGCTAGACCTCTCACCTGGTGTGAGGTAAGGACAAGAACAGTACGAAACTGACACAGTTTAAGTACCGGACACAGCGCATGCTAAACAGTACACTATCCTATTGTGTTCGCCTGCTGAATGACAGTAAATGATAATAAATGTGACAATAGAATTTTTAGTCGTGATATCAGTGATTTTCCAGGATTTATACTTGTTCTTAATTCATATTTGTGTAGTTATCAGTCGCTTCCTTTCTGTTTTTTCTCCAGAAATGCGCCGAGTTTGCTCAGCGACATTGCGACACGCTTGCGGCCCGAGGAGATGGACGCATGACCCACTCCACTCGCCGTTCGCGCATCTGGGACGGCAAGCCGTAAGTAACGCACAACGTCAGCAATATGAAGGCTCACAATTACGACTGTGCATATGCATGCTCAGCGTCAAAATGCACAAAACGTACGCAAAACACGTCGGGACCTGTACATGTACACAGCATGGTCTGAGCCTGACGGTTTTCTTTACATCCTGGGGGTCTTCACCATCGACACTGGTCATGCGCAGTCTTAACTGTGAGTCTTAATAACTGTCTTATGCCATTAAAATCGTCATTTTAACGATGAAATGTCATTGTAAGGGCCAGAGAAAAAGCAGGAAAAATTATTTTTAGGATATAGTATATTACAGTATCTGTCATATAATGAGAAAAAAAGAAAAGAAACAAACTATGATATAGAAATATATTGCAAATTCTGTACTATGGAAGAACGCTTTTGTCGCGTTGGTGACGACGTCAGTCTGCGTTCACTCAGGAGATGCGCCCTGGTGTGCCAGTACTAGTAACATGACTTTTCCTGTCTGTTGACTTGTAGGCATGGCGAGAACCTGGCGTACATGACCGGCGCCACCTGCCCCATGGTTGTTGACTACTGGTACGACGAGAAGGATAACTATATAAGATACAAATGGAACCCCGTGCGCAACTTTCGTCACGGCGATTTCGGCCATTTTACACAGGTAAGTTTGACCTCACGTTCAAGATAGGGAACAGAATTGTTCTAAATCTAAGTACATTTCTAGGTGTATGTGTGTGCGTGCGTGTATGTGTGTATGTGTGTGTGTGTGTGCGTGTATGTGTGTGTGTGTGTGTGTGTGTGTGTGTGTGTGTGTGTGTGTGTATGTGTGTGTGTCTGTGTGTGTGTGTGTGTGTGTGTGTGTGTGTGTGTGTGTGTGTGTGTGTGTGTGTGTGTCCAGATGCAATTGTGGGCATATGTGGGTACATATGTGTATATAGGTATGTGTATGTGTGTGTCCAGATGTCTACATGTCGCTTTTATCCTGTTTCAGGAGGTCTGGAAGTCGACCACTGGCGTTGGGTGTGGGCAGACCGGTAACTACGTCTGCTGCGTCTACGAGCCGTCTGGCAACAGGCTCTCCACCTTGCAGTTCCGCCGAAACGTCGAGACTTAAAGTCATTAACAGTCAACCGAATCGAATGTATACCAGCGCATTTCTTTTAGACCATCAACATCAGTCCCAGTAGCAAGTCGGTAGAACGTACTGCGCCTGCGCACACCCCCCCCCCCATTTTCACGGTTTTCATTGGATTTTTGGTCAACGTTGCATGAGAATTTTGCCTGTGGGGGCAGACAATATTTTTTTCCAACATAACATTTGGAAACTACAGACGGAGTGTTAACCATATATGCGCGAATACGATTTTATATGAGACGTTCTGCTATGCACAATACATTACGGGTTTCGCGTAGGTGCAGTACGTTCTGCCGACGTGCTAGTCACAGTATACATTCTGTTACGCGCCCAGCTTGTTACTGTTCTTGTGTCATATATCCACCAGATAGTTGTGTCTGAATATGTTTGTTGCTTCTAATGAGTAGATCAACAATTGTACTGAAATTATGGGCTTGATGTAGAAGTGTTTTTCGGTGTTGTCCATATATTTACATCACATATACCTTAACAACTATCACTGTACATGTAAGCATGTCAATCCTTGATAACACCATTCACTTGTTAAGAGGTGTTAGGACTGTAATCGTGGCAATTGATTCTAGAATTTCAATGGGAGTTTTCAATACAGAGATATTCATTTTATATTGTAGTTAATCAAAACTTTATTAAACACAAACCTATATCTATGTCAATCCTTGATAGCACCATTCACTTGTTAATAAGAGGTGTTAGGACTGTAATCGTGGCAATTGATTCTAGAATTTCAATGGGAGTTTTCAATACAGAGATATCCATTTTATATTGTAGTTTATCAAAACTTTATCAAACACAAACCTATATCTATGTCAATCCTTGATAGCACCATTCACTTGTTAATAAGAGGTGTTAGGACTGTAATCGTGGCAATTGATTCTAGAATTTCAATGGGAGTTTTCAATACAGAGATATCCATTTTGTATTGTAGTTTATCAAAACGTTATCAAACACAAACCTATATCTATACTAATGTTCCTATCTCGATCAGTCTTACCAAGGCACAGTTTTCATGTACTGTTTCCTAAACTTCTGAAGTATTAACATTACAATAGTATTAATTCTTAATTCCAGGCTAGGCACTGGTAGTCATTGAGCCTCATCTTTATACTGCTGTTTATGAAGAGACATAAGTATTTCACATCACTAGAGAGCATTTTTCATAAGTCTATTTAATACTTTGTACTTTCGCAACAGCTAAGACAATACATAATGTGCACCTTGACTTCTCGGGTCTTTGTGATATTTGAATCAGCATCATTGGAAAGGACCCTGACTTTAGATATAGATAGGTGATTGATTGATTGATTGATTGATTGATTGATTGAGTGACTGTGAGTGACTGTGAGTGAGTGAGTGAGTGAGTGAGTGAGTGAGTGAGTGAGTGAGTGAGTGAGTGAGTGAGTGGGTGAGGGAAGGAGTAAGTGAGGGAGTGACGGACTGACAGACAGTGAGTTAGGAAGGTAATGGGGAGAGAGGGAGGGGTTTGTGAGTAGTGAGTGAGTGAGTGAGTGAATGAGTGAGTGAGCGAGTGAGTGAATGAGTGAGTGAAGGAATATTTAATGAGGGAAGGAGAGAAATTTAGCGAGGGATTGATCTAGCGAGGCAGGGATCTAGTGAATGAATGATCGATGTAGTTAATGGTTGAGTGAATGAGGGATTAGTTTGGTAGCGCAAGGGAGGGATTTAGTGAGTGAGTGAGGGAGGGGTATAGATGGTGACAGAGAGATGTGGATAGTGAGGAATGAGGGGAGGGGGCAGTTAATGGAAGAGGAAAGAATCTAAATAGATGGTGGGGTGGGGGGTGAGGGGATGGTTTTGGGATTTTGGCTGCCCGAGTTTATGAAGACTATGATATTCATCAGGACACAGCAAGTAATTTTTATGAATAACGTCAGCGCGCGCATTAATTTTCGCCTGATTTTGAAAAAAAAACAAGACATTTTGTTGCCTTCTGACAGTGGTCACCATGCCGAAAATAGGCCAAGATGTCTGTTGCCATGCCGGAAGGTGGATGGCAGATAACTATAAAGAGAGGAGACAAGACAAGGCTCTGATTTTATGTTTTGTTTCTTACTTTGATGCAGTTATATGTGATGTTGGCTGTGTATATGTGATGTTCCCATTGAATCAAAACCATTTGTACAATGATTGAGTCAAAATTTCAAAATGTAAGAACCTTGTTTTTTTCGGCCCGCCTTGTTTTTTATTCGGCCGCTCGCATTAGATTTGGAATCTGTGGAGGATGTCATCCATAAAATTTACTTGCTGTGGCCTCAGTTTGATTTTCGGTGGTTGTCTGGTATTAAAGGCATCCAATGCATTTCGGTGGCAAACTAGAAATATTCTGGATAAGGAAATCTGTCTTAATATATTGACATTTACTGCCATTTCTTATCACTTTCTTCAGTCATCATTTCATCATTTCTTAAAGCGCTTGAAATGGCCCCAGAACAAGCTACGTCAGGAGCACCTTTATTTTTGGGTACCACCCAGAAATAGACAGAATCATGCTACGATACAAGCAGGTAAAGGAGGTTAACCTCCTTGAAACAAGCAACCGTTTTTCCTCAGCGACATTGCAGTTTTGCCTCACAGATATCAGCATGCTTTGGGATAGGGTTGATTCAATTTACTACATTATTTTTTTTTATATATTCCAACATATAATCACAAGACGTGGTGACGGCACACTCAAGTTTTTTCAACTTACTAGTATATTAATGCCACCACCAACACAGAGGGGACAATACAATACCAATTTTTCGCCTGAGCGAAGTGAGGAAAGCCGTGTAAAGTGCCTTTCCCGAGGGCACAAGATCGGTGGCATGGCAGGACTCGAACCCGGGACCTCTTGGTTCCGAATCGAGCACTCTGTCGCTACACCACACCACACCACACCACCCCACCCCACATTTACTACATACAAAAGAATGACCGGAAAATTGACTTTTGAAAATCCAGTTTTGCCGCCATAAAATTGCATTGGATACATTTAACACTTCACCACTGGCCGCCTCACAGTACAGTACCGTACTTTGCCGATCGAGCGCCCTCTGTCAGACTTGTGACACATTGCAGCTCTCGCGAGCCTGGGCGAAAATTTAGATCTCTTCCATGCTGTTTAGTACATGATATGGTACTAATGCTTGGTACCATGGTTTAGTTTCTCGCTAATGGCGGATTTCTGGCGAACCTTAGCAGGTGAAAATGTTTCTGTTTGCTCTGGATTTAGCATCCTCCTTCTTGTCAGCATTAACATTTGGGTGTCAATGTGACATAAGGAGCAGCGAAAAAGATCTTAGACGAAGTAGTAGACCGAGATTGACTGGAGCCACATTTCCAAGCCGGGGCCCGGCCGGGTAGTTTGCGGGACCGAAAAGTGTTATATAAAAGACAACAAAACGCACAAAACGTTTAAAAGACAATCATAAGCATGATGTATGCCTATTCTTGATATCCATGCATTTTATTTTGCGTACACTCTAACAGCACAGCCGGGCCCCGGCTTAGGTGACTCCAGCGTAAGGCGACACTGACACTGTGCGAACCGGCATCGAACTTCAGAGCGTTGTGATTTCATTTCCATAAAATCATACTTTTACCCATGGAATATCCTTTTTTCTTGTTCTCTTCTGGGCTGGTATTAGGTACTTACTAATTAATTGGGACGTCCACCAGTTTATTAGTCATTTTGTACATATTGCATAGTCTGGACATTTTTCTTCTGTCTTCCAGTGACACCCACTGTAGGTTTCTTTTCATTTCCGTGACACTAACTCCTCTTTCGTGGTTGTTCACGTTCTTTTAAACGTGTAGCTGATAGTATACCTACTTTAACTGTCAGCCGCACCCAAAGGTGTCATTAGGTTAGGAGCGAGTGACACTCGGCACGTACATACCAACATGTCGTTCGTGCAATTTGTCATGTAGCGGTAGCAATCATAAATCATAAATCAGTTAACAGGCTGTTAACGCATGGGCGTGTGTGTGCCTAAGACTACCTCTCATTGGTTGTGGGAACCATCTACCCCCTGATTTGGCACCCACGTCATCGTAACTATAAATACCCGGCGACGCATCCCAACTTCTTTAGAAGAGCGCGCACTGCAAGAAGAAAGTTCCAGAAGACATCCACAGTAGAGGGGAAAAAAATCTGTGAACTTGTTCTGGCAAGTCAGGGAGTCAAGATGAATACGTTTTTCGTCGTAGCTGTCGTCTTGTCGATCGGCATCGTTGTTTCAGGTGAGTTACTCCTGTTCTGTCACTGTCTGTGGTGGAAATTTAAGCGGCTCTTGACTTTTTCTGTTGCTATTTATAAACAAGCTCGGTGCGCGCCGAGACGCAGGGTTTTTTTCGCGACAGCATCTCGTGACAGGCGGATGACACACCGCAAAAGTCCGACCAAAGTTGCTCGGAAGAATGTATCGTAAAGAAGAGCCCGTGTGCGTGGACTGTAAACTGTGGCGGACCCCAGACGCACATCAGACGGGCTGATCCTCGGGGTACGACCGGGCCTGGCATTCCGACCTGGTCGGGCGCGGCGCCCCTACCGCCCGGCGGGGGGCCAACACTGCGGGGAAGGGAAAGAGGGTTACAATCCCCGCAGTTTCTACAACTTGTAGAGCATTGATAAACGGTAAATCAAAGTTCAAACGCTCAAGAGTTACGCCTGGGGTGGCGCCATGCACTGGACTGAATTCTCCGCAATTTTGTGACTTTTAAAACTTTTCAGAATTCGTTCATTGCGGCCGCAAACACCTGGGCTTGCGGGTGTGCCACCGTGTATCAGTTTGTATTTTCTCGACATATGGAATCTACCCGTCACTAATCATAACGCACCCTGTCTCTTTATACGCGTCTGATGTCGCCATGTCAAATGATTTGTCCTGGTTTACTGGGTTCTGATTGCTCTCGAATACTTTTGCGCCAGCCTCGAAAGTCGGGGACGGCGGATAGCAGAGAGTGGGCGTCAGTTGGGGGGCTTCATGTGGATCGTAGAGTTCGGCAAAGAAGGGAAGAGTCAGTAACTAACCGCACGGGCAAATGAACCCTACGGTGGCCGATGTAATTACTTACGATAACCTATTTGGCTACATTTGACTGATTGTAAACCAGCCTTTTTAGCCTAGCCTCTACCAGGCACCGCGGATCGCTGGAAAAATAGTAGAAATTGGCCGAATTGGGTCGCGAATTGGATCTTCTCTGGCCGGCTACCTCCCCTGGTACATTATTCCTTTATTTCGGTCAATTTCTCCTATTTTTTCAGCGATCCGCGGTGCCTGGTAGAGGCTATTTTTAGTCTGGAGGAGACAAGTCAGTACTAGGGACTTTGCGTTTTTTTAAATCATTTTCGTGACGCAGTTAGTAGTTACCGGCCTGGGTCTAAATCGGCTCGTCTGCTGGCATCGCGGGCATGCGTAGTGCCGACTTTTTCACCAACGTATTTGTGAAAGTTGTTGTGATGTGTTAGGACCATTTTAATTTTTATGTCGTTTTTATCTGGGTCATTGCTTCGGAGTTTCAATCCCGTGTTGTTTTATTCCGATAGGCGCAGAGAACCTCCCCGTGAAGAAGCCCCGGTCCCTAAGGTCTAGGGAACTTCCACCCCTGGCCAGCGATATGGAACTCGAGACCGCCATGAAAGAAACGAATGGCATTTCCAAGAGATCTGTGAGTTCAACTTCAATGTGCTGCAAATTTCCCATTCGTCCATTCTTTAATTTGCAGATAGCCTGCAGGGCTATTAAACTATATGTCCATAGTACATAGAATTAGCACTAGCTTGTACATTGTATATATTCATTGCAAACTGTGATGTCTTTTCTGTGACCTGTACTGAACCCAGTGGGTATTTGCGTACAATAAAGGTCTTCATTATTATTATTACTATTATTATTAAACGACCGCCTTTCCTATTCTTTCCATTACGTACATTTACCCTCCATTTTTCTAAAGCTGCTGCCTGTGCCCCGCTTTCCGTAGTAACAAAAGACACTTTTTTCCTTGTCCGTCCAGGTTGGGGGCTGTGTGGACAGGTTACCCCGCAAGTGCGACTGTTTGTACTACAAGGAGAATGGCTTCTGTACACACCCCAGCATTCGGTTCCGCCACTTCATGGCAGTCTGGTGCAAAGCTTCATGTGGACTGTGCAGTCCCGGTAGGTGGCCCCTGTACACTACACTACATGTCAAACGTTAATGTGAAGGCCGAATTTTGAAAGGGCACCACGAAAGTTTTGCGGCTTGTAAGGTTGATAAAGTTTACGGTCTATGTGGAGATGGAATATTAGAAAACCTAGTTTTGCGATCCAGGTCATCTGAGTAGGATAGGTTCTGATGCATTTTGGAATATATATGATCTAACGTTATACGTCATGACATTCTAGACAACCTTTGTTAACAATCTCACGACGGTCGACAGAGCGTTGGCATATAATTAGACTAATTTAGAGGGTGTGTCGTAAATTACGCTTGGATGATGTCCAAGAGAAGCGATTGGGATGACATGTCAGCCCGGAGGCGCTGTCTCCTGGGACCCGCCTCTTCAGTAGCGCTAGTCTGACCTCTGTTGTCAGAGTCCCTAGCCTCTACCAGGCTTGAGGGCGCGGCTGGAAATAGTAGAAATCGGCCAAATAGAGAGATATAACACGCCGAGGGAGTTTAGCCATCCAGTTTACAGTTTTGTGGGCCGGCAAACTGTAAACTGGATGGCTAAACTCCCTCGGCGTGTTATATCTCTCTATTTGGCCGATTTCTACTATTTCCAGCCGCGCCCTCAAGCCTGGTAGAGGCTAAGAGTCCCCACTGTCTGAGATGCTGTGCTCCAAGTAGAGGTTTAGGCTTCGGTGTATGTTGGTGGCGCCGCGCGACAAATGTCCTAGGACAGATATTTTTTGGCCCGTGTAAATTGCCAATTTGAGACTGTCTTATAGCCACCAAAAGATCTCTGTGACATCAGAAGTCGAAGCAATCTGTCATTGATACTGTGCGAATCTCTGCTAGAATGCCCACAATAACTACTCTCCAAGCAGAGGTTTGGGTTTTGGGGGTATTTTTAGCGTGTTTTTAGGCTTTTTTATCGGGGTTTCTCTTTTGCACTGTTGGGTTTGGTGGGAAAAAAAATTCAGTGTACACAAACCGGTCTCCTTTGCACTGATCAGCTCCTGCGTGTGGAAACACGTACCCGGACAGTTTCTGCCAATCTTACCCGAACCGTAATCCCGCCGCATGCTCTCTCCACTGGATGAGGTGTGGATGTTCCGAGACCTGTGGAGTCTGCCACCAAGGTGGGTACACTGAGGATGCTCGGATTGACGTGTGTGTGTGTGTGTGTGTGTGTGTGTGTGTGTGTGTGTGTGTGTGTGTGTGTGTGTGTGTGTGTGTGTGTGCGTGTGCGTGTGCGTGCGTGTGTGTGTGTGTGTGCCTGTCTCTCTCTCTCTCTCTCTCTCTATCTTTATCTCTCCCTCTCTCTCTGTTCGTATGTGTGTGTGTATGTGTGTGTGTGTGTGTGTGTGTGTGTGTGTGTGTGTGTGTGTGTGTGTCCGCACATTTGTGGTCAGTATAACTCGCAAAGATATGGACAGATTTCTTAGCACCATTCATTATTCACGAAAAGCTCAAATCGGCCTGCAGCAATGTAAAAACATACATATGTTAGAAGCTTTGGTGTCGTGATGATATTTGGCATGTGATTAGGTCTTGGCAGGGCAATGATCAAGTTCAAATTAGTAAGCAGTACTGAGGGCCATGGAGGCAGAGATTTAGTTCACAGATTTGTTGCGGACCGAATACCCTGTCATCTCTCTACTCTCTACTAACAGACCAACCGGTGGAGCCGACCACCCCAACACCAGCCCCCACCACCCCACCACCGGCCACCACCACCCACCACCGGCCACCACAACCCAACACCGGCCACCACCACCCAAACACCGGCCACCACCACCCAAACACCGGCCACCACCACCCAAACACCGGCCACCACCCCCGACAGAGCCGCCGCCTTTCGAACAGAGTGTCTGAGGGCCCACAACCGACACCGGGCCAAACACAATGCCCCTGTCCTCACCTGGGACGAGGTAACTACCCATTCCAACTAGGATAAAGTTGTCCGGATCAAACCGAACTGATATTTGCTTTGATCCGGCTTCGAGCCGCATTGAGCCTGAACCCCAAAAATAAATAAGTAAAAATAAAATAAACAAATCGTGACATGTTGATAGATGTCGATACATCTTCAGCACACGACCAAGTTGGAAAAGAGTGGCAGAATCCACCCCTTCTTTTTTTCCTCCAGAGATGCGCCCGGTTTGCTCTGCAACACGCCACTAGGCTGAAGAACCGCGGAGACGGCCGGGTTCCCCACACCAGCCGCCGGGCTCGCTACTGGAACGGCTGCCCGTAAGTAACGCACAACAGAACAACATTCCTAAAACTACATCACAGTTACAACTGCGCATTCATTCATTCATTTATTCATTCATTCATTCATCCATCCATTCCATGATTGAATAAAAACAAAGTATTCAATGAATGAATGAATGAATGAATGAATGAATGAATGAATGAATGAATGAATGAATGATCTACCTGTATTCACTCAGGAAATGCGTTCTTGTATTCCAGGAGTAGTGATGATGATGTCACTACTCACATTCGATTTTTCTGACTTGTAAAGTCTCGAGGTGTAGTCCTTTTTAATAAGACCAAGTGCAATATGTAGAAATAAGACTACAGTATTTAGTAGTGCTCACTTGGATCTGTCAGTGGGACAGTGTAACGCTGCTATTTTATCTAACCTCTTGTAAATATCAAAGTATGAGATTTTATTTTGTATTGTACTGATTTCACGAGGCTCTCCAAGGATGGAGGAAATAAAGAGATGAAATGAAATGAAATGAATGATCTACCTGTATTCACTCAGGAAATGCGTTCTTGTATTCCAGGAGTAGTGATGTATGTTTTCCTGTTTGTTGACTTGTAGCCATGGTGAGAATATCGCGTACATGACCGGCGCCACCTGCACGATGGGCACTGACTACTGGTACGAGGAGAGGCCTAATTACAACCCAAACAACCCCGTGGGCAACTTTTATCGGGGGGACGTCGGCCATTTTACACAGGTAAGTTTGAACCCGTAGCTGAGTTCTTCTCAATGTATTCTTCTGTGTTTGTGTGTTTGTTTGTGTGTTTGTGTGTTTGTGTGTGTGTTTGTGTGTGTGTTTGTGTGTGTGTGTGTGTGTGTGTGTGTGTGTGTTTGTGTGTGTGTTTGTGTGTGTGTGTGTCTCTCTCTCTCTATCTCTCCCTCTCTCTCTGTTCGTGTGTGTGTGTGTGTGTGTGTGTGTGTGTGTGTGTGTGTGTGTGTTTGTGTGTGTGCGTGTGTGTGTGTGTGCGTGTGTGTGTGTGTGTGTGTGTGTGTGTTAGAGGGAGACAGACAGACAGACAGACAGTGTCCAGATGTCTACATCGCTCTTCTCCCGTTTCAGGTGGTCTGGAAGTCTACCGAGAAGGTTGGGTGCGGCATTGACAGTGGCTTTATGGTCTGTATCTACGAGCCAAGTGGGAACGTCCTCACCCGCTCAGCCTATCGCGCCAACGTCGAGCCTTAACTTCACATATAAGTCAATCGTAGCGAATGCATACCATTGTATTTCTTTTAGACGATCAGCAATCTCGGTATATATTCTCTAACGTGCCCACGTCGTTACTGTTTAAGGAGCAAAATTGAGTCAAATACCAAATATCAGATATTTGTGTCTACATATAAGACGAGGAGATCTTGCTTAATGAATAATTTCTTTTTCTATCTTCGTGACTACAGGTGGTTGATTTTTTCTTCTTCTAGGTCTAAGTCAATGATTGTATACTCGAATATGTGCTGTTAGAGCCAATAGAAATCACTGTATATATATCAAGACAAAGTGTATGCGTGATAACACTGTATACGTAAGCATATCAATATATACGTGTCGTTTAACTTAGTTTCCAACTCTCTCTCGTGCGCGCTCTGACGAATTTTCAATACAAAGATATTCAGTCACAGATACTTTATAAAAATTCATTTAACAGTTAACACAAAATGTATCCATACTACGACCAGCCATAACTAGACAAAGTATGTATACAACTTTTACCCAGAACAAGTCATAGTTTATTTTAATTCTTGATTCAAGCTACGAGCTAGGCATCAGTAGACATATTGAGCGTTATCTTCATATTTTCAGTAAGTATTTCACATCATATCTTTAGAAGTATCATCTTGTACCGGTTTGCAAGAGCTAAGAGGACATAGAGATATTGGACATAGATACTATGCTAATATAATGGGCGTTAAGGATCATATGGAAATTGCATTATCTTCTATCCATTTTAATAAATGCTTGAGATCATTAAAACCTTTGACACACTGTAATATTTTTTTCGTCATTTACTTTACTGATTTGCAGACCAGTCACGTCATTTTAGTACTGCAATTAGTACTAGATTTAGTGTGTGATGAAAATCGGATGAACTTTTCCTGTTATCCTTTGAAATGAGATGCTTAAGAGCGATTCTCTGCATCAACCTTCGGGACCGCATCCCAAACGTAGAAATTCGGTCAAGACTTGGGGCAGAACAAACCATCATTAACAAGATACGTGCTAGAAGGCTCAGGTACTAGTAGTTTGGACATGTGATGAGAAGACCGGTATTCTAGAATGTAAACACCTAAATTCATAAGGCATACCACCAGGAGTTAAAAAGCCCAGACTCCGGCGAAGACCACTCAAGAGGTGGAAAGACAGAGACACAGGGCTTACCCTAATGGAGGCGGAGACTATGGCCTTGGATAGAGCTGGCTGGAGGAACCAGATGATGAGGGGGAGCAAGGGGCCAGATCCTGGCCTGAGCACGTAGGCAGGTAGGCAGGCACACACATAAGTATACACAGATGTCAAAGTATACAGAGTACGATATTCTCTCAAAGAACCATCATGATCGGACGATTGAAAGCTAGCCTCTGTGCAGGCTCGGCCGGTGGAGTTTTGATAGTGCGTTTTGTAGAGTTTTTAACGCGTTCTTTTAATTGCCTGCCATCCTACAACCAGCCGCGAGAGAAGGTTTCCATCCGCCCGGAGCCTGCACAGCACAGAAGGCTAGATGAAAGTGCCTTGACATCCCTAGCTGCCTTTTCGCAAAATAGAATCAATGCCATACGAATAACCTACGACACAGTCACGGTCAATGGAGTACGATGGAAGGACACCCACAGGACTGTCGAGCATTTTACTTTAAAAAATCAAACAATTTGGAGGGTATCGTACACAACTGCGTTGGTCTAAATATATAACGACACAGTGTAGACTCGTACAAAAGCCTATGAGAAGGTCGTCATGTCTTCCTCACAAACATTTACAGCTGCCGTATACGTAGTCTGCCTTTTAAGCGCCTGTACAAAAAAATCGACTCGGCAAAGATTTTTCTAGGAAATGATCCAATGAACCTCAGGTGTGGTCTGTCACCGGGAAGAGGAAGGGGTGCACGGGGCTGACGTGAACTGTTGTCTTGTTTTCTCAGAAAATGATGCAATAGAATAATCGTTCCCATGTACAAGTAGATATGGGTGCTGGCAACTTTTCCAGCTCACCGCTCTTCTTTATCGGAGAGTGATACAAAATAGACAGGGAATACATTCCGGTTATCCTAAATAAATAAGGTCCCCAGACCGTCCTCTGGAGCGATTTACTATTGTTCAAATGTCTGTCAACGATCTGTTCTAGACCACAGTATTCAGTGTTTTACTACAGGTAAAAGGTCAATGGCCTGGCGGTGTTCACATGCTTGATGCATCTATAACCCGTTTCTGAGAGGTAGCTATTTTAAAAAGAAAAAGGAGTATAATAAACTTATCCGAATGCGCAAAAGAGAACATGAAAATAGTTGTCTAGAACAATTAGCAAATCTACAAGAAAACAACCCCACTGCGTTCTGGAACTTACTTAAAAAACTAAAAAAAGACAATACCACACCCCAAGAAGATATTCCAAGTGACACATGGGTGGAACATTTTAAAGCCCTCCATGATAAATCCAGACAACAACGTCAAGCCTTCGACCTTGCCTTTGAAAAAGATATATTATGCAAATTAGATACGTTGCGGAAAGGTGAGGCAAATCCGAGTCCGCTAGATGACCCAGTAACGGAATTAGAAATAAATAATGCTATACACCTGTTAAAAAATAAAAAAGCAAGTGGAGAAGACATGATAACTAATGAAATGATTAAAGCAGGGAAATCAATCTTACTGGCACCGTTAGTTAAATTATTCAATCAGATTCTGTCAAAAGGAAATTTCCCCAAAGAATGGTCGAAAAGTTATATTGTTCCCATTTTTAAATCGGGTAGAAAGGACGAAGTGAACAACTATCGTGGAATATCGATATCTAGCTGCCTGGGCAAATTATTTACATCAGTGTTAAACAGAAGAATATCGACATTCCTAGAAGAGAACAAACTCATCAAACCAAACCAAACGGGCTTCCGGAAAAACTACAGAACTTCAGACAACATTTTCATACTTAAAACATTAATCTCAAAATATAGTCAATCGGGAAAACGTTTGTACGCTTGCTTTGTAGATCTCTCCAAAGCTTTTGATTCAATTTGGCACGAAGGTTTATTTTTCAAACTTCTATCTAAAGGCATATCCGGCAAGTGTTTTAGTATCATCCAAAGTCTTTATAACCAATCCGAAGCACGCGTTAAAACTATTGGCGGTTTAACAGAGAGCTTCCCTGTCCAGATTGGTGTCCGTCAAGGCTGCGTATTGAGTCCAACTTTATTCAACCTCTATATCAGTGACCTTGTTAACGACTTAAATATGGCAGACATTAACGCACCGCTATTACACCACTCAAAAGTAACAAGTTTGCTATATGCCGATGACATTGTCTTGCTGTCCGAAAGTCAACAAGGCCTGCAAAATGCAATAGACACGCTTGGTAGATACTGCCAAAAGTGGAAACTAACTGTCAACCTAAATAAAACAAAGATTATTATATTTAATAAGAAAGGACACACCTTTTCAAAACTTAGCTTTAAATTATTCTCCAAAGACATAGAAGTAGTTTCGTCTTATTCTTACTTAGGTGTAGTCTTTACAGCTGGATGTAACTTTAACACAGCGATGAAATTACTACAAAAGAAGGCCTTACGAGCGTTGTTTAGTATTAAATGTACTTTTGGGAGACACTAGGGCGCCTATATCAGTTTACTGTAAGCTTTTTTGATCAGTGTGTTGTCCCTATATTACTGTACGGGGCGGACGTGTGGTGCAACAGCAGATTAAATGATAACTCGCCGCTTGAACAAACACACTTAAAATTCTGTAAACAAATTCTAGGATTAAGAAGAAACGCTAGTAACTATGCCAGTAGAGCTGAACTTGGCCGCTTCCCCTATGGATTGAAGCGTATTGTAGAATGTACAGTTATTATTATAGATTAGTTAGAAATGTTCCCGTTGAAAGTATTCAGTATGAAGCTTACATAGTACAAAAAGACCTTGTTAGAAGTAAAGTACCCTGTTGGTTGTTGAACATGAAGACAATTTTAGAGGAGTCCGGCTATGCCTGCCTATATACACATGACTATATTAACAAACCATTCCATCTGCATGAACTAAGACAAAGATTAAAAGATATATTCATCCAGAAATTCAACTCAGCACTACAAGCACAAGGACAAAGGAAAAATCAAGGCAACAAACTGAGAACATACAAAACATTCAAAGTACTATACGACAGAGAACCATATTTAGACATCCCAAATTTTGAAAACCGCAGAGCCATGTGTAAACTCCGTATTAGCGACCACCCTCTACACATAGAATCTGGCAGGCATAGCCGTACACCGTTACAAGATAGACTGTGTACATTCTGTAACAATTCGTGTATTGAAGATGAATCGCATTTTATGCTTGACTGTAAATTATATGATAACGAACGTAAATCACTGTTCAGTTCAATTAAGCTCGACAAAAAATGTAAAACATTATCAAAGGAAGACACTTTTAAATATATTATATCATGTGCAAATATAG